GATTTGCTTGACGGAACTCAAAATCCACCAAATTCGAACTAAAGCATCTTGTGTTGCTTCATGATTTTTTTTTTTTTTTTTTTNNNTGAAGTTGAAGAAGAAAGAAGAAGAAAATAGAAAGAAAAATAAGCAGAAGAGGAAGGAGGAAGGAGGAAGGAGGAAGGAGGAAGATGGAGGGACGGATGAAAGAGAAAAAAAAAGAAAGAAAATTTTGGGATATTTTGTGACTTTTTAATTTGGCATATAAGGTATCCCAACATCATTGCAGGATAGCATATAAACAAGTTAAATGATAACTTACCGGGCCATGTTCATTTTTCAGGGCCCAAACTAGTTCAACCAAACATAATATTGATATTGATACAATCACAAACAGTGTGATATCACACCCTATCAACCCAACCAAATTGACCCTATGGGTGAGTTTGGTTGCATTTATTGATTGGGCCTGATATAATACCATGGGTTTGGGCCCTGTTTTGTTCACCATTTTATCACTTACAATAAGCAGTTTGGTTGGTTTTTAAGGGCTCGTGGATAGAACCTAATCACCCGCAATAATTTGTTTGGTTGCACAAATTTGAGCCGATAATACCATTCCATCACACCAAAACTTCTATTTCTTCCAATTTTAGCACTGCCCACTGAACTTAAAAAAACTGACTAACACTTCTATTTCGCCAATGAGAAAAGGAAAAGAGCAACAATCACCCGTCCAAGATTTTACAACTAGTACATCTCGATTTTACTCCACAAAAATTTTGTAACGACGCCGAACAATCGCGCCTAGGTTTCACAGAAAATCTTGAAGGTGAGTTTCCTCAAAATATTGATTTCTGAACCAAAAGAATGAAAACGAATCTTCATCAGGTAAACTACTACATGTTTAATCGATTTATATATTTGCAACTCCATAATCCTTTTCGTGTCTTCTCTTTAGTTTGTTAAGCTAGCGTTTTATTCGTGAAATTAGTGCAGGTGGTAATTCATGAATTGGGAATTTGGTGGATAAATTAGGGTTCATATCACGTAAAGCCTCGCTTTTTTGCATCAACATCCTTTATTTCTCAAAATTTACCCCTCTCAAATCATGCTCACATGTTGTTACAGAGGAATTGGGATTATTGCACAAATTTGGTGAAACATGTATAGCTCATTGATGTAGGAAATTTAGTGACCTTGGAGATGAAAATGAGAATGGTACAGAATTTACAGAATCTGTTAAAGCATTTTTTACTAATTATTTACCCCCAGTCAAAGATTAAGTGTAGATATATTTTCATAAAAATCATATACCCATAGGAAGGTTGAGTAACAATCTTTATATGAATGCTTCATAATTGTTCTTTGTAGGTACAAAATGGCAGGAATTAAACCACAAACCCGAAATTATATACTAGCAAATCTATTTCAGATGGAAGGTTAGAATGACGAGGAAGAAAAATTCTTTTTCCAACAGTTGAACATGCAGCTCATAATATCCCCGTAAGCAACATGAGGACTTTTAAGTTTTAATATGTATTTACGGCTTCTCACTGGCCGATTTATTGAAAAATCTAGAATAAAAGATTACCATTGCAATGGGTGAAGCTTAGAATGCTTAGTTTCAAAAAACAATATGCATCATTCCTAGAGTGGAAAAATATCCCAGGCATAAGTCACAATCTTAAGCAAAATGGAGTCGACGGAGTGTACTGGCAATTAGTCAGTAAGGTATAATCAAACTTGATTTCTCCCCTTTTTTTATGGATGTGTAGATTTCAAAGCTTTGCTTGGTTTTCAGTTATTTGTTATTGGTTTTTTCAGGAGACAAAGGAATGAAGATTTACCAGAACGAAGCATTTTGATGTAGCACTTATTGTTCAACACAAAAAATGCAGCGCCTATTGTTTTCGATGATATAGAAACAAGATGAACTAGTTCTGGTAGTTTGTGTTTTGTTGCAATGTCCCATTGTTTGATTTTGTTGTAATGAAGTATTGAAGTGTAACTGGTGAAGAAGTTTGTGCTTGGTACTGTGGAATGTAGAAGCATTGTATTTTGTAATGTGGATTGCCACTTCTCATCTGTGTTATGACAATGGGATTGCAATATAAATATATATTGGGTTACTGTGTTACTACCTTATCTTTTGGTTAAAAATTTATCCTTTGTTTCATTTTGAATTCTTATGTCAACAAGTGATTAGGTGGTGTAAGCTGTAGAATATGATTTTGACAGATGATGTGGATTATTTTTTATGTGGTTGTGGATGTGTAAAAAAGATTTGACATTGTAGTTTGTGGTGAGGCTGAGCTTGGATTGAAAAACATGGATTGCTATGAATAGGTTGGCAATCAAGAAAACTGTGACCATTCAAAGTGGCAAGGATTATTCACTTCTGTGATGCTCACATTTTGACATCACATGTCTTTGTTTTCCAGACTATTCAGAACACGATGAGTCTTAAAGATACAACTTGAATGATCAACCTGGGGATAACCACAAAAAAAAAAGTACAAAAGAGGAACATAAGACCAAACAAGTAAAAAAGAAACACAAAACTCAAATATACAAACATAACCTACAAAAACACAAGAGCAACAAACTAAACACAAAACTCATATATACAAACCCAGCCTACAAATACACAAGAGCAACAAACTAAACCAAGTTGCAGAAATCAAAAGCAAAATAAACCATAGCAGAGCCACAGGACTCAAAGCCAGGCCAGGACATCGAGCAGCAATAAAACTCATCAAACAACTGTAAACCAAAAGAAATAGCACCTGCAACAAGACCAATGAACTCGAGAAAAAAGCTTGGATGAGCACCACTGAGAAGAGACTTCTCCTAGTATAAGCATCCAAACCATAACAAAAACCAATCAAAACACTCCAAAGACATCCCAAGACAGCAAAGAAGGGTTCTTGACTGAGAAACCACTGAGAAGATTTCCCATTTCATTCCATCAATCTCTGAAGTTTTCTCCTGTTGAGTAATGCTAAGTTCTCCTGAAGCTCAGAATGTTGCGTTTTCAACGCCCTTATTTTCGAATTTCTTTGCAACTTCTCCATTAAACATTCCAACAACAAATCTTTTTTTTTTTTTTTTTTACTTCTTCCTCTAACAACAAATCTGGGCCATTTCCTACAACACCTTAGATGAACCTTTCCAAAGAGCAGTTTTTCACAATCTGTACCAAGAATTGTATAATGTTAGTCTCCATGAATCAAGCAGGTTGCAGTTGAACTCTAACCATTTAAGATAACATGACAAGATTGTCTAGTGAGCCAGTATGAATATAGCTTTCATTATTGTATAATACCACTTATTAAAGTAGCATTTTTACAAATGTGCTTAATTTTGAAATATAAACAAATCAAGCTGGACAATTTAAGAAAATGATTTAGTGTAGGAGGTTGATGCTCAAGATGTACATAGCATTAGATAATACACATATCTAATTATATGAACTGTAAGATAATGCTGTTCAAGGTTTTGCAATACTTGATGCACAGTTATTCAGATGCATCAGTTTGTTCCAACACGTGCAACGTACAACTCGTGTAGGTTATTCTATTTATGGCAGGCAATTTCTGCATGAAAGTGTTTATTTTCCAAAGTAAATGAGCAGATTATCGATTTTTCTTATGAACTATTGCAGAGTTCAGTTTTAATTTGGGTAGAAAGCGAATCAGTGAGGAAAAAAATAGGCAGACCAAGATAAGAACAGCATTATATGCAACATCAGTTAAAAAAACGCATCAGTGTCTAAACATAATATTTCTGAACTTCATATCATTCACTACATCAGTACAAAGGAAGGGGAAGGAAGAACAGTTAAGTTGCAATTAGACTCTAACCGAGTTAATCTTGATTTTTACCAAAACCACTCTCCAAACTGATATTCTCGAAAGCCTAAGCCACAGTCACAGTCATTCATTCGGTGAAGGAAGAACAAAAATAAAAAATAAAAACGAAAAGCATAGACAAATGATATTCGGTGTCTCTGCAATAGATTATAAATTATCTCTCACCTTGTACTGCTCTTGTTTTCGCGACAACACCGTGAAGTTTTATTGAGTGCACTAACTTCCGATGAGATGAAAACGGATCTGCACCCGAAGTGTTCGATCTGCAAAGAAAAAAAAAAAAAAAAAAAAAAAAAAAAAAAAAAAAAAAAAAAAAAAAAAAAAACTAAAATGGATGCTAGTAGGAGTAGGACAATCTTCAACACTTGTTCGTCGCTGTTACACAACTAAGCTCTACGTTGGATTTACCTGGTGAACCTTCCCTTCGAGCTACGTGCGACTGGGTGCGAGAGAACCCTAGATGTTCATCGAGCGGGCGAAAATGAGATGAGAAGATGAGGTATAATTATTTATTTTAGGGCATTTTTGTAAATTGCAACCACTTGATGGACAATGGGATATGGTATCAGCAAGAAGGCGTGGGATGAGGAATATGGCTTTTCCTTATTACAATATCGGGCTGGCTTATTTTAAAGGGCTTTACATGCCCCAACCAAACAGCTTAAACATGTGGAAATAATAACAATTGACATGATATCAAGCCCAATAAGGGCAACCAAACTGACCCTATATGTATTGGAGAGATATATTCAGTTCATTTTATTTACAAGGATATCGTATTATCAAATTCAAAACTTTTAAAAAAAGAGTAACATGTGTTAAAGTTAAAAAAATTGGGCATAATTCACCTATTTTATTTTGGGCCTAACAAATTGCCGGCAAAATCTGACTAGTTAGGCTAGCCCATTATGTACTTCGTGGACCTTTTGAAATTGGTTGCCTAGCTAAAAAGGTTCATATATATATATATATATTTTTTTTACATAATATAATATTGTATGTACTCACATTGTGACTTCATTTAATTATTTATGTTTAAGTGGATTATACTTCACAGTATTGGGTAAAAAAATATTCAGACAAAATTGTAACTTTCAGATTATGAATGTTACATATAATAATACTTTATTCAGACAAATTAATTCAAATTCGGAAATAGTCCTATAATAAATATTAAGCACACTGCACAACGGTAAGCGAAAAGTACACACTAAAAGCAAGCAAGGAAAAACGATTTCCCCTTTCCCAATTTCTTTCATTTTCTCCCCTGCGAAAAGAGAAACAGCCATTCATTTAAAACAATCACAAATCCAAAATTTCTTCAAATGCTCATTCGTTAAACCTCCATTATCGTGTGCTGTGGCTCCTTAATCTGCACCATAAGATTATTATTTTATTTTTTTCTGCTCGTATATTCATACAAATCGAGAGACGTTGATCGATTCGTGAATGGAAGCCATCAGAAAACAAGCTTCGAGGCTTCGAGAACAGGTCGCCAGGCAACAGCAGGTTCTCTCTCTCTCTCACCCACTCTCTTGCTCGTCTCTTTTTCTCTATCCGTATAATTTCTGTATCGGATCGTGTGAACTGAGGTTGGATCAGTGTCGAAGTATGAATATCGCGATGCTTTAGATCTGCTTGATTATTGATCTTTTGATTTGTTTTTTGTTCGAAAAATTTCGGCATTCATTGATTTTTTTTCCTGCATTTCGATTTTGGATTCAGTTGTATTGAGTTTGTGTACATTCGCATGGATTTAGGTTCCTGCAGCTTAAATTCTGCTTGTATGGATAAAAATAGGTATAATAATCGTGGTGATTATTTTGGTGATTGTTGTTGGTAGTGTAATTGACCTCACATTTTCCTTTCTGTATGCGAAAGCTCTGGAGCTTAATCTGATCTGAAAGTGAGCTGTGCTGCTAATCTGTGTAAACTTCTGCATCTGCTCGTATTCTGATACCTGTAGCTGGATTTGTTTGATAGAAAAATTATTCACTGCCTCTCACATACTTCTAGATTGAATTTTATGTTGCTTTTTACTGCTCTGCTGCAGCTGCTGAACCTGTTGTTTTTTATTACTTTATTATGTGTTTTAAATATTCTTTTATCTTTGAAATTGTTGTGATATTATTATATTTGGTTTGATGCAGGCTGTTCTGAAGCAGTTTGGTGCGTATGGAGCTTCCGATGTTGTAGCCGATGATGCTGAGCTCCTGCAGCACCAGAAACTTGAAAAATTATTCATATCTACTCGTTCTGCCAAGGTCAACTTGCCCACTCAAAGCTCATGTGTGCATATGTGTATGTGTGTGTGGAGTTTTGTTTCTAGGTTTGGTTAATTAATCGTTTTGCATGTCTATATTATCTCTTATTTATAGGTCATGATTGTAATTTGACATTTCCTACTTTTTCAGCATTTCCAAAGGGACATTGTTCGAGGTGTTGAAGGTTACATAGTTACAGGGTCTAAACAAGTCGAGATAGGTTAATAGCTGAACATTACAAGTGAATATGTTTATATAATATATATATGAATGAAGTTTAGCAAATGGTGATTCATTGTGCATGTTCTTCTCCTTCAGGTACTAAATTGTCAGAAGATAGCAGGAAATATGGAGTTGAAAATACATGTACCAGTGGTAGTACATTGTCAAAAGCTGCATCAAATTTTGCACGAGCTCGTGCTCAAATGGAGAAAGAACGTGGAAACCTGCTAAAAGCCTTTGGCACACAGGTTACTATTGTATTTTCAAGTGTTTTAAGAGTCCTGATTGATCCTTAGTTATCACGACCTTATGTTTTTATTTTGTGGAACACCGGGGAACATTCTGTAGTAGCTAAATATTCAGGGTTGGCTTGAATGATCGTGCTGTTTTTAATCACTAATCAGACTTGTATTGTCTAGATAGCTTGCGAGCCACAGCTGTTAGTTTTATATATGTTGGATATATACGTTTCTTCACTTACCATGGCAATTTTACACCTTACCATCATTTGATTGAATTTATTCGTACACCAACATAGATATATAAACACGCAAAGGCATTTGTATTTGCTCTTGGCTAGGTTGATAATAACTTGTAGCTTGAAAACATTGTTTCATTTGGAAATATTTTCAGAGTACTCTTTAGATTAAATCTTTAAAACTGGAAAGAAAATGTTTAGATTTTCTTTACAGCAGCTCTTACCTTTGTTAGTTATATATGTCTTTTATATTAGGCGTTTTGATTGTTGCCTGTCGGTTTTATGATTCCCCTGCTATGCCTGTCTTACTGTCATGTATCAGGTTAGATATTTGGTTTACTGAACAAGGTTAATGGGGTTTGCTGAGTGCTTTTAATTGGTATGTGAACCAAAACTATGTTATGCTCGGCATCAGATACTACTCATATATCAATGAATACATAGAACTTCGATATAATAGATTATATTATAGTCATACTGTCAGTTAAAAGCCCTGATTTATTGCATATCAGGTAGCTGAACCATTGAGGTCTATGGTAATGGGAGCTCCACTAGAAGATGCTCGACATCTCGCCCAAAGATATGATAGGATGCGGCAGGAGGCCGAAGCTCAGGTACTTGGATGCAAATTTTCGAGTGATTGCTGTTTTGATTAATTTAATATAACACGGATTAACAAAAAAAGTCACTTAATGTGAAGATATAAGAGCATGCTTGGATACAAGATTTTTCAAAAAAATACAATTATTTTTAACCATCACTTTTTTAACAAACATCTAATTCAACTTTAACCCAACTCCACTATCCTCAATATTATCAATATAATTAAATAGTATCAATTAGTCATTCTTACACATTACATAAACTTTAATTCATTATTCATCCAATCACATAATTTTAACCAACCATCATTTCACATCATCTATTTCCTCTCTTTACATCAAATCTACTTTAACTATTTTATTTAAATAAATAGTATTTTAATATAAACTCAAAATCCCACTAATAACTAACCATACCAGTTTTTTCAAAATTAACCAAACAAAACCAAATAATATATATCCAAGCATCCCCTGACATATTGGACTAAGGCTACCATTCACGGACAATTTGTACTGAATTGTTGGAACCTAGATAGGCTGTTGAAGTTGCACGAAAACAAGCAAAGGTAAGAGAAGGAACAGCACATCCGGATATGGCTTTTAAACTCGAAGCAGCTGAAGCTAAACTGCACGATTTGAAGTCAAATGTCGCTACACTTGGGAAAGAAGCTGCTGCTGCTATGGCTGCTGTTGAGGCTCAACAGCAGAGGTTGACCCTTCAACGGCTAATTGCCATGGTAATGCTAGCTTTTGCCCTACTCTCATTCATGTGATCAAATGGAAGGAATAAAGTACAAAAGAAAGAATTTTTGGGCTAATTGGAAAAAAAAAAATCCAGATGTTTGCGAGAGTTGCGAAGAAACTCATGTGCTTTTACTTTTCATTGCATTCCCACCTTATAAGCAAAAGTTATATAGAACCCACTTATGTTTGTGAAATATTATAGATACCCCCCTTACATTCCAGAAATAAACTAATTTTGTAAGGTTGTAAACAAATCGAAGGAACATTGGCTGTTGTGTTCATAATCGAAAGTAAATACGACATGTCGCTTTCATAAACTGTCCATAATTTATCCTTGTTGTGTTCAAGGTTGAGGCCGAACGAGCTTACCATCAGCGTGTCCTTCAAATACTTGATCTGCTAGAAGGCGAAGTAAGTGCAACGTTTTGATTCTTCACATATGAGCAGAATACTCTGTCATGCTGTTAACGAATGTTAACAAAAGCTCGTTTGTGTTAGGCAAGAGCTCGTTCATTTATTAATCGAGCCGAGTTCGAATAGAAAATATAGGCTCGTTTAATAATCGAACGAACACGAGCTCATTTGCAAACGTTCGATAATGTTCAAGAATATGAATTTAATATAAATTTATCTTATTTTTAATAAATTTACGTGATATGTTTATTGAAAAAAATCTGAAATATAAAAATATTTTTATTTTTGAGTTTGAACGAACAGATTGAGAGTTAATTAAACATATTTAAAAAGTGTATGTCTAAATTATTCGAACACGAACTTCGGATAATTAAACGAACGAGCTCAAACACCAATTTTTGCTCAAATAATAAACGAACGAACAAAAACAGTCTTCGAACGTAAACGAACACAAGTTCAAAACCCCCAAGCTCGGCTCGTCCAGCACTAGACAAACTTTTAACGAGTACCGATTTTTATTTTTATTTTTTTATTTTTTGTTCTTCTCTATTTGTTTTATGTTCAGATGATGTCCGAGCGACAAAGGATTGAAGCAGCTCCTGCCCCAAGCGTGGATACTATGCCTGCTCCACCCCCTCCATCATATGAAGAACTAAATGGCGTGTCCACTTCACCAATGCAAAACGGGTCCACTGATAGTATGGGTTACTTTCTTGGGGAGGTTAGTAAATTGGAGATTTTCCAGCAAAGTTGATAATCAATCATTACCTAATGAATGATAAATTCATATTATTTACTTTCTCTTGCAGGTTTTGTACTCGTATCAAGCTGAATCTGATGTGGAGCTTAATTTATCAATTGGCGACTATGTGGTCGTTCGGAAGGTTGCCCTTTACGACATTTTTCCCATATGTGTAAACTTGCTAATTTTGTATTGTATGTTCGATTCTTTTTTTTTTTTTTTTTCAATAATCTTCTTTTGCTTCTTTTCAAGGTTTCGAACAATGGGTGGGCTGAAGGTGAGTGCAAAGGGAAAGCTGGTTGGTTTCCGTTTGGATACATCGAGAGGCGTGACCGTGTTCTTGCAAGCAAGGTAGCTGAAGTTTTTTGATCTACTATCTTGGGTTTGGATTTTTAAACATATAATATATATTCGGTGTTTTGTGGATATACAAACATATATTCGGAATTTTTTTTTAAAGTGTTATTTATTACAGATATATTCCTTCAAATTTTTATATTTTCTTATTTTACTTTATTCTTTTTGTGTTTTTGACTTTTGGAAGATAATTGTTTTATTTTTGTACATCGGTTGAAACGTTACAAGGTTTAGTCAAAATTGGTGTTTTTTGACGATTTTTTATTTAAAATGAGGTGCAATTAGTTTTTCGTGCTCGCAACATACCGTTATTAACTATAAATATATATCACGAAAGGCGATATTTGAAATTCTATGTTGGGTTGAATCTTAACAAAGTGTGTGTTTCATCATATGGGTCTGGTGTCAATTCCTCTGTTCTGTTGAAAGTAACATCACTTTCTGTAGAAATGGATACTTAGAAAATTATATAAAATAATTACGTAATTTATTTTGAAATGTATGGCACCTGTCGATAGGTATGACATAATAGTGTAGATAAAATTTTGCTCTTTGTCAGTATGACATCTTATTTATGTGTTTATTTATTGTTCTATTTATCATTTGATTTCGATTAGGTATAATTACCCGGATTCGAATCGCAAGTGGAAAAGCTCAATGCATAGAAGATCATAAATACAATAGTTATATTACTCGGATGTTAATTTAAAATAAATTATACCTAAGAAATTAAAAATAAAAATATAAATTTTAAATACTTCCAGAAAAATATATACTTTATTTTGTTTCAGATGACACTCAATGACTACAAAACTCGCATAATGATTTTTCTAACATTACAGAATCGATTAAGAAATGTTTTAATTAATAAAAAATAGTATTGTTATTACTTTTCGATTATGAATGATTACATAATTTATTTTTTGTTTATTAAGGTAGATACTTTAATATTTGCAAAATCGATGACAAATAAAAAAGTTAAAAAAATTTGAAGAAAATGTTCAGAAATATAAAAATTTCTACTAATCATTGGTATAAGTCGGAATATACGTGGATAGAATACAACGCACCAAAATTGACACGCTTGAAAACTCTGTATAGTGAATGCTTAAAAAAATCCGATCAACCCATCAGTAAAACCCAAAGTAATATCCTATGTAGCTACTAATAGAAATCACTCAACCATTTATTGAAACAAATTAAAATGAAATATCTTCATGTAACTAGTATAAAAATAAATGGGCAGTAGGCTTTACAATATATCGGATTCACACAACCAGAAAAATAACTTGGCAAATCTAATAATAATAAATATCACCACAGAAATATGGTCACAATTACAATTGGAGTTCACTCCTATGTTCAAAAATATGTAAAATTTCACTAAGAGTCCGCACAAAACCAATCCTGCAAAATGCGAAAGTATTTCCAGATGTAAGTTGGATGATTGGCATCTATTACAATGAAACTCCATTTTCTTCTCGGTTCTACTAAATGACAATAATGGTCCGACTCTTAACAACACTAGTTAACGTACTACTCAATAGCACGAACTCAAGAATTCTAACATTCTCATTTTGTATTCTCTTATGATATGAGGTGAGAAGATGATGATC